ATTTAAAATGTTAACATTCATATTTCTCTATTTCTTACTTGTATGAAATTGTAGTGAAGTTCAGAAATTAGACTCCCTAATCTTTCCTCCCCCTTAAACCCACTTTCTTAATTTTTATACACCCAATGCTTCTTTTTTTTTAACCTGAAATATTTAGGCTCAGATTTCTACAAATAGAATTGTGTATAAAACTCAAGCTATTTGACAGGAATGTTGAAGTTTGAACTGATCAACACAGTCCTTCACTATTTTTCACCTGGAGTTGCATAATCTCTGTATGACACTAAAACAATCCACATCTAAACCATTACTCGCTTTGGTATGAGACTAAAGGTACTTGAGTTCAGTTACTGAAACAATGTCTCTGTTTCTCTGAATAAGTTAACAGTTAGTGCATCAGTTTCTATCACAGAGCAGCTGGCACATGGATCCTGTCTGAATTGAATTTTAAGAAACAACTTTAGAAACCATCGTATAATATTTTAAATAAAATCATCTGGCAATACATTCAGGAAAAAAAGTCATAATAAAAACATAGCCTAAAATACCTTTGCTTTGTTCTAGTTAATTAGATTCTCCTGAATGCAGACTTGTTAAAGAGAACAGGGTGGTCTCCTATATTTCAATAGGGTTTCTTTTTCCCTCCCCCTGCTGGAAGCACGAAGTGATTTTAATCTCATATTTACTGTGAGAACCTGGAGGTAAATGTCATAAACTTGTGCAGGCTCCCCTGTGATGGGATACCCTTGGAGTTAACTGAATTGTCCACACTGAGCCACTAGCACTTTGTCAGTTACAGATCAGGCTTTCCTACCCTGGCACTGGTTACCTCTAGGATCTCCACCAGGTTCTCGGGAAATAACAGAAAACATCCTCTCATTCTTCCAGCAGAGGAAGGAAAAAGGAAACTCTTTTGTAATACACCAGAACACTCTGTTCTTCCTGAACAAGACCTGCCCACAGGAGAAACTAACCCGAGCCTAACGTTCTGGGTTTGATCAGAGTCTAATGGAACTTGGGGAAAGGATATCCCTAACTCCAGCCACTCTAGCTACCCTATCCCATCCGAGGGAAGAGGGGAAAAATGAGAAGGACTTGTAAAGCTTTCAGACCAGGGCACAGACTCAGTAACAGACTGACAACTAATCATAGGACTATGGTATGCTTCCCCTGCCCTGACACCTCACCACATCATTACTAAAGGCCTATCTACAGCAGTTCCTTGGACTTAGTACATCATGTCTGGCTATCAAGAAATAATTATAAGTCATACTAAAAACCAAAAAAACCTTTCCCCTCAAAAAATTTTTTTTGATGAGGCAGCATCAGAACTAGACATGGCAGAGATGTTGCAATGATAATATTGGTCTTTTAAAATCACTATGATTAATTTGCTCTGTGACAAAAGGGCTCTAATGAATAAAGTAGGTAGCATGCAAGATCAGAAGGGCAGTATAAGCAGATGAAAATCTGAAGGAAAAAAAACAAAATTGCCAGAAGCAAAACATTGTAACAACAATGAAGAATTACATTGGTTTTAGTAATTCCCTGGACATAAATGATGAAAGAATCTTTGAATTTGAAGATATATCAATAAAGACCTATTATACTGAAAAGCAAAGAGAACAAACCTGAGGGAAAAAAGAACAGAATATCCAAGGACTATGGGACAACTACTAAAGTTGTAACATACATGTAATGGAAATACCACAAGGCAAAGAGAAACAGAAAAAATAGTTGAAACAGTGACAGGGAATTTTCTTTTTTCTTTTTTTTTAAATTGAAGTACAGTCAGTTATAATGTGTCAGTTTCTGGTGTGCAGCACAGTGTCCCATTCATACATGTACATACATAGGTTTGTTTTCATAAAAGGCTATTACAAGATACTGAACATAGTTCCCTGGCTATACAGAAGAAACTTTTTTAAAATCTATTTTTATACATAGTGGCTAACATTTGTAAATCTCAAACTCCAAATTTATCCCTTCCTGCCTGCTTTCCCTGGTAACCATAAGATCGTTCATTATGTCTGTGAGTCTGTTTCTGTTTTGCAGATGAGTTCATAGTGTCTTTTTTTTTTTTTTAAAGATTCCACATATGATTGATACATTGAATTTTTCTTTCTCTTTCTGGCTTGCTTCACTTAGAATGATGATCTCTAGGTTCATCCCTGTTGCTGCAAATGGTATTGTTTTATTCTTTTTATGGCTGAGTATATTCCATTGTATAAATATACC